CCTAAATATATATATATATATTAAACCTTTTTATTTTCAAAAGAAATTGATACTTTCAACTCTCCTTCAAAAATATATTTTTTTAAAAAAAAATTATTTTATACTTTTTTTTATTTTTTTTAATTTATTAATGCAAAAATACTCTTAAAAACAAACAAACACATAAATAAAATAAATAAACAAAAAAATACCAAAAAAAAATTCGAATCGGCTTGGCTGAAAAATGGCTCGGCTTGGCTCCAAGAAGAAAGACAGCTCGGATGTGTGGCTTGACAGAAAAATGGCTCGACTCAGCTAGGCTCGAACCCAAGCAGAGAAACGGGTCACTAGATCGCGTGCGCTATGGATCGGGTCGGATCTTGGCAAAATGCACGGATCCTATGGGTTTACTAACGCAAAAACAACGTGGTTTTGAGGAGCGTATATAAAGTTGAGACTCGATTTTCTTCAAATTTTCCTTTTCTTTTTCTCTCTCTTCCCTTCTTTTCTCTTGCTTCTCTCTAAACAAACCCAGATTTTGGTTGAATGTTCTATCGAAATCTAGAAAGGATGTCGAAAACTTCAAAGTTAGCCGAAAAACTCATCGAAAAATTCAAAGTTAGTCGAAAAATATTACCAGATTCTGAAAAATTTCTAGAAAAAAAACTCCAAAAATTTGAAAAATTTTTTTAAAAAATTCTAAACACAATCTTGTTTCTGTTTCCTCTCCCTTTTGTGTTTTTTTTTGTTTTGTGGGTTCTATTTCAACACCTATTTATAAGGATTGATCAGAAACTCTTCTGATCAATCCTAATTCCCTCTGGGATTAGGATTCAAACTTTGAATCCAATCCTAACTCTGTCAGCCTCCAAATTCGCGTCCAAATTCATTGTAATCTTTTTCTGATCCTAATCCTAATCTCAGTCAAAATTTGATCAAGAAAAAAAAAATATTAACAAATAATGAAAAGAAAATAATAATAATAAAATAATAATAGATAAATAATAATAATCATAATAATCATAATAATAAAAAATAATTAAATTAAATTAAAAAAAGAAAATAAACTCATAATACCTATTTGGACCAGGCTCAATTAATCTGAGCCTGTACCGAATTGAGTGTCTACAATACTTATGAAGAAATTGCATTATATTCACTTTGAAAACTAGCATGCAAGTATCAGATTATGATGATAATGGTAATATGGGTGAAGAGAATGTTAGATTTAATTGTTGGTTATTAAACATTGGAAAGGGCAAAGAACAAGCAATTTGTAGACATGAAGAACAAGCAATTTCTAGACATGAAGAACTTAATCCATGTTGGATTGAAATTCCAAAAGAATTTATTGTAAACACAAATGGAAGACCAATAGATGCAATAATTGACGCTACTTATTCGGATTTTTGTGAGAGACAAAATGATGGAAACTATCTTTTTTAAAGGATAATTCTCACTCCTTTTAATGAAATTGCATGAGATTAATGAATGTATGATAAATTTATCGGAAGGTGAAATGAGAATTTACAAAAGCAGTGATGAGATATGCAAGGGTTCTACGGAAAATGAAGAACAAAATGATATGTATCTGACTGAATTCCTTAATAGTTTGGATTTTTCTAAGATTGGTATGCCTGTTATGCTATTAAGGAATATGAATCCAAGCTTGGGAATGTGTAATGGTTCATGTTTAATTATTACTCAACTGGGTAATTGACTAGTTGAAGGTAAACTAATGTCTGGAATCAATATAGGATCCAAAGTATTAATTTCAAGGATATTGAAGACTTCTAAGAAAAAACAAGATGGCCATTTGTTCTAAAACGAAGGCAATATCCATTAAAGCCATGGCTATGCAATGATAATTAATAAAAGTCAGGGACAATCATTGAAATATGTTGGTCTCTATTTGTCAAAACCTGTTTTAATTCATGGCCAATTGTACGTGAGTCTTTCTCGTGTAACTTCATCATTAGAGGGTTAAAAATTGTGACTTTAGAAGATGATGATAGGATTAAATATCATATAAAAAAAAACATTGTTTATGAAGAGGTTTTTAATGGTATATTTTTATAGATAACTTAGTTTAAATTTTTCATATTTTAATTTTATATACTAAAAAAACAAATTATTATACATTTTAATGAATAAATTATTATATTTTTGTTGGTACAAATCTTGAAATTATATTGACAATTTCATATGTACATTTATTGTGACAAAATTAACCATACAAATTACAGGCATAAAAACCTAGTACACTTTAAAATGAAATAAAAATTTTTTTTTTTTTTTTACTTTTAAAAATCAAACTAAGACAATATTTGTGGGATTTTAAGGCTCCATGAAGTAAAGGAAACACAGATCTGCTTCATCTAGTCAATATTTCGTTCATCTGGTCTCAATTCTGCAGCAATAGTGCTTAAATCGGTGAGGAATTGACAAGGGCTAATGGATGACAATTAGCCTTAAGCACCAATCTGTAATATAAATATATATATATATATATATTCTTATGAAATGTGATATATCAATTTTTAAAATAAAAGGCCTTGGGAATAAATAAATAATAAATGTATAAAAGAAGTTGGGAAATTTGTCCTTTGTTCTACTAGCGACAATCTTGTTGTCCGCTCAAGCTTGATCAAATTATGAAAGAGGGTTTTAAATTTTACAAAAATTTAAAATTTAATTTATGTATTATAATTTATATAAATTTAGTTTTTATATTATTTTAATTTGATAATCTTAGTTAATAATTAATTTTGTCAAAATTTACAATTAAATATGTTAGCTTAGCCATTGAATTAATGATAAGAGCGTTGATTTTATTGATATGGTATTCACTTACTGACATAATAATTTATTTGAATGAGATCAATTGTTAAATTATACAAATAATTTTTATATTCATATTAAATTTGAAATTTAATTTTTATATTCGTATGAAATTTGAAACTTAGTCTTTCTATAAAAAATATTTTGAATTTTTTTAGAATTTTTAGTCTTTTAAAAAGGTTAAATTTATTTTTTTCAATATTTTAATTTTTTTAATTTCATTTTTTGAATGTTTTGTATTTTATAATTTTTAATATTATAAATTTAGAAATTTTAAATTGAATTTTTTAAATAAAATCATTTTTTGAATTTTTTTATTTTTTCAAAATTTATCATTTTATTTAATCAAAATATTTAATTTTTTTGTTTTTAACTTCTTAGAATTTCTATAAATTTTTTATATTTTTTTTATTTTTCTAAAAATTTTCTATATTTTTTAATATTTAAATAAATAAATAAATAAAATATAAAGAAGATGTGGATCTTTTGAATTTATTCCGTTTGATATATTTAAAATGAAAGAGCATAAAATCTGAATAAAATAGAGAAATAAAGAAACACGAATAGTTTCTAATTTTGATTTTATTCTTCACTTGTATAGGGTAAAAAACAAGTAAAAAATGTTAAATTTTATAAATACGTTTTAAAAACATAAAATATTATAAAAATTTGTATAAAAAAATAAAAATATGAAAAAATTTGTAAAAACTTCAAAATATTAAAAATATTAAAATTAAATATTTTGTTTAAATAAAAATATTAAATTTTGAAAAAAAAGGAAAAAATTTTCCAAAATGAAATTTTAAAAAATTAAAATGATAAAAAATTTGTTTAATAATTTTAAAAAGCTAAAAAGTTATAAAAAAAATTCAAAATATTTTTATATTAAAAAATTTAAATTTTAAATTTCATACTGAATACAAAAATTAAATTTTAAATTTTATATGATTATAAAAATTAGTTATATAATATAATAACTGATTTTATTTATTCAAGATATCACATTAATATTTTAAATAACAAAAAATTAATAAAATTGATAACTAAATTAAGATTATCAAATTAAAATGATATAAAAATTAAATTTATATAAATTACAATATAATAACTAAAATTTAAATTTTAAAAAATTATAAGCATTTATGACATAATTTGAACCCCGAGCTCGTTCATGATGGAGCAGTGACCATAAGAAATTTGCAGAACGCAACGAACCTTTTCAAACTGGGATCATTGAAAATATTGGCTATTCTTTTCGACCATGAGGTAACACAGCGTCAGCTTGGATTGGAGTCAAAACCCATGATTACAATCTCCAATCCGGTCACGAATTTACCGAGTTCAATACGTCCATCAAAGTCCGCCGCAAGCTCCTTGGATCTCAGCCCTTTCCAGACTGCCTAGAATAACAATGACATAATAGTAATAATGCATTAGGATTATCCCACCATGACAAGTCAATCTAAGGGACTTTCAATAGTTAGTTTCATTGTTTTTAATCTTTAAAGAATAAATTTGGTGAAATGTCCATGATTTAATCAGTCGATTCTAGCTTCGTGATTTATAATTGCCACTTTTTTTTTCCTAGTTGCATTGGTTTTCTATGGGCAATTCGGTTGGTTTTCTTGCAAGTTGGCTTTGGGGTCTATGGAGATCGAACAAGTCCACTCGGCTGCTTTTTTGTCATTCCCTTAGGAGAGTCAATTTTATGGTGCCAATTAGTCCACAGTTTTGACTTTTGATTTGGCCATGTGGGGCTTTTGGTTATTATTTTCTTCATTTGCTTTTTCTTTGCGACTAAGTAGTTTCAGCTTTTGGAGTCCGAAGCTTCTATTTTGGCTGCTCGCTTCAACGTTTTTTTAGAACTTGTTCCTTATCCTGTTCCGTTTTTGTTCAACTTTTGTGGCAAAAACGGTAATGCCAATGTATCTTGGTTGCTTCAAAAAAGGTTCATACATACGTCAATGTTAGTTTCTTCAACCCTGCTTTTTTGTTTTTCTTGTGTACTGATTCTTCTTCATTTTCTGTGAGATTGTAACTGGGGTTGGTTGAAAAATCTAGATGAGTTGCTCTTATAATATAATATAATTTGAATGAATTTACAATTTATGTATTTATCTATGTAAAATATTAATAATTTATATATTTATACTAAAACTTACGAAATATATTTTTTATTAAATTTATATATATTTTTTGTTAAAATATTATATCATTATCACTTACATTTTTTTATCACATCGTCACGCCATAAATTTCCAGTTTTTTTATCCATGAAAGGAGTGGTTGGTTTAGGCATATATTTATTTTGACTTTGACGCACCGAACTAGTAGTCGAGGACTTGCTTCTAATTTTTGGTTCCTATCCTGTAGACTAGGATATTTTAATTCCTTATTTTTCTTGCTTATTGGTGCAGCTACACCTAGGCAGAGGAGATTGGGAGATTTACTCAGTTTTTCCTTTCTTATTCGTTGATAGGATCAAGTTTGTGAGCATTTCTGTATCATCGACAACAACTTGAGTGCTCTGGGATTGCCTTGCTAGCACTAATGGCAGCCCTTGTGGGCCTTTCTTGTCTTCTGACAATAACTGGTATGAATTTTTGAATCCATTAATACTTTAGGAGTTGTATCCTTGGCTTCCCCTGTCTATTTCTTTCTCTTTTTTTCTATTTGGAATATGTTTAAGTCAAAGGCGTTGATCCATAGCTGGTTTCTTGATTCTTGACTATTATTAAGTCATAAATTCTTGCTATTTAAGTTATGTCCTTGTCTCTTTATTCCTTGGGTTGATTTATTGATGGGTTTGGTTTGGTTTGGGGTTTGCTCCATGGATTTTGATTCTTGGAAAGAGGTAGCTGTGCTCAATTTTGGATATCACTGGCCTGCTGTAATTTCTTGCTCTCGTTCGGTTCTTGTCTAGGCTTTGCTTGTATTGAGTTTGTTGATTTGCCATTTACCCTTTTAGGTTCTCTTTGGCTATTAGTCTAGGTCTTGTTCTGGTAAAGCAGGGCTCTTTGAACCCGAGCTAGCTCAGATGGATCATTCAGCTACCTTAAGTGGCATTCAGCATCTCTGCTTTAAATCCTAGCACTCTCAACCCTTTCCATATCTTTAGGCTGTGGTCTTTTATGTAAAAGAAATTAAGAGGAGCATGGCTTTTTGGCACTGGCAGATTTCTTAATAGTAGGGTTTGAGTTTGGAATGCTGCAGGCTTTGTATTGTTTTCTATTTTAGTGTTCTGGGTTTCCTATTTTGTTGGGGTTTTGTGTTTTCACTTACTTTTTGGCTTTTAATTTGTTTCAAAACTACAAAAAAATTAACATAATAATATGTCTTGCTGTTTCAGGATCTTTCCGCTTTATTGGACTACTCACAGTCTTTTTGTCCATCCAAGTTCTGGTGTGTTTGTGCAGCATTGACCATAAGAATGATCCAGAATGCAACAAACCTTTTCGATGTGGAATCATCCAAGATCTCAGTTATCCTTTTCGGCAACGGGGAAGCCCAGATTATTGTGGTGAACCGGGATTTGAGTTATACTGTGAGGGTGGTAATCCCATGATTACAATCAGTTCACAAAGTTACCAAGTTCTTGTCTTCAATATGTCCCTTCGTACTCTCACTATTGCTCCCATTAGTGGGTCGGATGGGCTGCTTTGTCCCCAGCACCTTGTTAATACCTCTTTGAATCTCAGCCCTTTCCAGTCTCTTTATAATACCAGAAACATAACACTCTATTATGATTGTTCATCGAATGCAAATCAGACTGTAGGGCTTGTTGATCATCAGTTCAGTTGTACCATGAATGGAACTCAGATCATAGCCTACTTTGTGGTCACATCTGCCTTTACCAACCTCTCAGCTGAAGCAAAGGATGCATTGAGATCGTGTCATAGCAGTGTTCTTCTTCCAGCATTTGCTTCAATATTACAGGTTTTGGAGCGCAACCCAAGCCGAGAAACTCTGGTTATGGCCCTTGAGAATGGCTTTGGGTTGCAATGGAGTGGAAACAATTCCCTCTCAGGTATGATTACCAACAAAACAAAAAAATGAGATTAATAATGTACATTGGAGTTTATGTGCCACATCAAAGTGAACATGTCAATCATCTGTGTTCAGAATCAGTCAAGTTTAATGACAATAATTTTTCTTCATGATTAGGCATTTGCTTAGCTTAATGACTGTAATTCTATTGAGTATTGACCATTGCCATTTTGCCTTTTTTCACCTCCATGGTTTTTCGTTGCAACATTTCCTTTTCTTTTGTGGTTACAGGTTCATCAAATGGTTTCAGTTCAAAGTTTAAATTAACCATAGGTATGTACCATACTGAACTCGTTTAATAAAAATTCTATTTACTTAATTTCAATCCAATTGGAAGAATGAATAGCAAGTAATGTTTCTAACGTAGTTGAGTGATCATTCTCTGAAACAGGCTTCGCAGTGGCTGGAGCTGCTATTTTGGTATTCATTGTTATGGTGGTTGCTTTCAGGCTTAAGAGAGAATCATTGTCAAGAGGAATGTTAATGAATTTCCAACGAGGCAAAAGGAAGCAATGGAAAAGGATTGAGGCATTTATTTTGCAGTATGGTTCTGAGCTTGCTCCAAAGCGATATTCTTATTCAGACATCAAGAAAATAACCAAGTCATTCAAGGACGAACTAGGTCAAGGGGGATTCGGCACAGTATATAAAGGTAAATTACCTGATGGCCGACTTGTTGCAGTAAAAGTCCTAAGTGAATCCAAGGGGGATGGAGAGGAATTTATTAATGAAGTGGCCAGCATTAGCAGAACCTCCCATGTCAATATAGTGCCGTTCCTCGGTTTCTGCTATGAAGGCTCAATAAGAGCTCTAATGTACGAATTCATGCCCAATGGCTCTTTGGATAAGTTCCTCTGTAATCGAGCATCTCCGGATAATTGCCATCAACTAGAGCTGAAAACATTGTATGACATCGCAATTGGCATTGCTAGAGGATTGGAGTACTTGCATCAAGGTTGTACCACTAGGATTTTACACTTTGACATAAAACCTCACAACATCCTTCTAGATGAGAGCTTTTGTCCCAAAATTTCAGATTTCGGTCTTGCTAAATTATGTGAGCGGAAGGAGAGCATTCTTTCTACGATAAGTGCTAGAGGAACCATTGGTTACATTGCTCCCGAGGTATTTTGCCGAAGCTTTGGAGCAGTCTCTCACAAGTCTGACGTTTATAGTTATGGGATGATGGTCCTTGAAATGGTTGGAGAAAAAGAAAATGTTCATAGTCGGGCTAGTGATGCGAATTTTCCTTTATGGATTTATGATCGTCTCAAACAAGGAGCAGAGTTGAATCTTCAAGGAATGACAGCTGAAAATGAAGAATTAACTAGAAAAATGATCATAGTGAGCTTGTGGTGCATTCAAAGTAATCCATCGGATCGACCATCAATGACTAGGGCCATGGAGATGTTACAAGGAAGCATTGAATCTCTGCCAATTCCACCTACACCTTTCCTGTTTTCTCCCCCAAGAGCACCTGAAAACTCCATGGCAACATCATTATTCACACGATCTAATCTTATGGATACCTGTGAATCATTTGGTGTTAGCTATAAATTATCTATGTAATTAATCCCAGCTAGCGAACTCTTTAAACCATGTTCAGTATGGCTATAAAATATCTGGTTTCAGTCTTCAATATGTTACTCTGCTCGTGATGCTAAATGTTTCAGTAGCCTATTTGCAAATTTTGGATATCCTCCTTAAACTTGAATATATTTCAAGAATCTATTCATCTCAAACTTCCAAGAGATTAATTATAATACTGTAAAACACTCAAAGCTCCATAGGAATTGGAACCTTTTCTATATTTATAGAGTAACATAATTCTGTGAAACAAACTTGCCTGCTAAGAACTTTTTAGCAATGGACTTCTTATTTGAGTTAAAATTCCTAACAAGTTTAACTTAAAAGTTTAATGCAATTGGTTTATATAATCATTCTAAAATTTGAAGTACAAATTTCAATACTTATAATCTTTTCTCTATAGTGCAGTCTCCTTTCTGCATTTTGATCATCAAACCAGCTTGGCTATGCTGGGAATTTTACTGTTTATCTTGAGCACAAAACCAGCTCCTCCTCACAGTTTTGGTTCTCTGACTTTTTTTTTTTTGGCCAACACAATTTTGGTTCTTTCACTCGTGGTATTTTGCACTTTAGCTTTTATTGCATATCGTGTATCTTGATAAACAATGTTCACTCCCTTATCTAATGTTGGTAAATGGGCTTAGGTTCATAAAAACCTCTTCCTTCAGACATGACTATGAAACCAAGCTTGTAGGCCAAGGAAATTGCCATTCTGCTTCATTGTACCAAGATCTGGCTCCACTTTCACAGGTCTCATATCTAGCTTTCCTGGTTCATATCACTACACAGTTTCACAATGTCTTGAACAAGACAGATTTCCATAATTCAGACAATAATGAGCTTTTTTTTTTTTTCCTGCAATAAGCTCTTGTGAAAAGGAAACAAATGAAGATTTGTTCAATTGACGAAGTGTCTAGGGAGATGACTGGATCCAAGTTACCCACTTATATGTCAATCCTGCAGATTTCAAGTTTTGTTTTTGTTTTTCTTTCATTTTTCAGCCAGCAGGAGACTAAGATTATGCAATCCTGACTAGAAATTATATGGCTGGTTAGCTATTCTAGTTCTTATGATATATACCAGGGCTGCATATATGGGACAAAGGTGATCAACCATGATGATTGAGAGCCATCAATGAAAAATCTACCAATTGAAACAGCCTTCAAATATTTACAAAATATCCAACCAAATCACCTCATCCATACATGTAGGGGCGCTGGCAATAGAATTTTTAAACTTCACAAGCATATTTTTCCTAATTGACATGTCCATTCAAGTAAATACTTCTAACTTTCATGCATTTTCCTTTCTTAACTCAAATGTTGTGAGAGATGCAACATAGATAAAAGACGCATTGCCAAAGCACACTTTTGTAGGATAACATATCTCCAATTAGGAGAAAAACATTCCATTTAGATTGTGCCCCACAAATTGTACAAAAGTTTATTACACTGATCCATTTGGGCTACAAAGGCTAAGGACTAATAACACATTAAAACATGCAGGAGATCCCAGGCTCCCATAAACACCTAAACAGCTTATGCAATACTAGGTTTCTAGTCCAAGAAGGTTTAAAAACTATGACCAACACAATGTACAGGCAAGGACCACATATCTCAGAAGCAATTAACATGCAGACCTCACCAACAAACTAACAAGAAAAAGAAGGAAAACTTCTAAAAGAAAACCAGGAAATGTGAAGATGAGCACAAAGACAATTACATCACCTTCTTGACTTCATCATCAATAGGGTCACGTAGGGTTCCATGCATCCAATCCATCCAAATGGTATAATGGCCATAATTATGGCAATATGTAGTGTGGTGAATTGTGTGGTAGCCAGCACCCATCGCAGGCCATATTTTGCCATGGATGCAATCATGAATGTTTGCCATCCAGATGGCCTCAAGGAAAAAGAGTCCAACATGAGTTGTAAAATGAGTTGGAACAATGAAGAGTGCTATAACATGAGGTACTGCCTGCAGTATTCCATCCAGAGGGTGAAAAGCCAAACCTGAAATAAGACATTGTTTTTAGCCTATTTCATTTAGTAAGAAACAAAAATCTGAATATAATTTTCAGCTGAAGTGGGTATATCATGCAAATAGTTTCTAATCTGTTAGCCAAGTGTGCCTTCCAAAGAAACTTCTATTTGGAACAAAAATTTAGCTTGCCACACTAAATAAATACAGTTTGAACAAAAGAAACCGGCAAGCCATTGATGCAACTATCACCTAGTTGCTTCAGTGCATCCAAATCAAATAAAATAAAAAAAAAAAAGAAGATGCAGAAAAACATTCTTTAGAAGCAAGCACCTAAATAGAAGTGAGAAAGGACCAGGCTTCTCTTTAGAGGAGGTAACCACTTATAATTGGGAGTTCTGTAGTGGTATTACTAACTCAAATTGTATTCCAGTAAACAATGCATTGTTTGGTCTATCATATCAATGATCATACACTCCTTTTCAAACTCCAGAGAAAGATAGTTTCAGTTGAGGATTAAAATTTCTTCAATTAAAGGTTTCAGGAAAGCAAGGGAGCACTGAAATTGCTTAGCATTCTTCAAAATTTTCAAATTTTTTATGATAGCTTTTAGAAAAGAAAGGCAGCAGTTCTGAAAGAAAGAAAGGCCAATGACCACTCAATGTACATTAAAAAAGTAGCCAAGGGAACCTGCAATATAAGACGACCAAAGAATGGAGTCTGGTCAGGAAAAAGCTCTAGGACACCACATCCATGATAGGCTACTCTTTACATATATGCTACAAGATGCAACCATGCATTAACTGCAGGAAGACTAGCTCAGACATTCTTTAGAAAGCTATTAACTAGTACACATCTTGGTGTATGATATCAAAACTAAAAGCAGTTAATTCGACTACACAATATAGAATGATATAGAAACTTTACTTGAAATATTGATAGGCAAACCTCGTAACAAAAGTAATTGACAGATTAAATTTCATTCTCTTTCTAACACTATGGGTGTGCTTGGTAGAGTGGAAAAGTTGAAGGATGGAAAGAGGAGGGTGTAAAAGTGGAAAGAAAATGAATTTCGAGTGTGCTAGGTATGAGAAAAGTGAGAGGAAAGAAAATAGGAAAGATGACTACTATTCACAAAAGCAAATCATTCCAAATTGGAAAGATGGGAGGAGAGAAAATGAGAAAGGTGTGACTAAGTGTTGCATAATTATAAAATTGACCAACATTATTTTTTTCTCCATTTTCCATCTTTCCTACCAAGCACACGAACGGAAAGAAAAAATATGTTTTCCATCTCACTTTTCTCCAATTTTTCATCTGTTCAATTTTCTTCTGCCCTTACAAGTAAAGCATAAGAGATGAGGGCATGACAGATTTATATCTCAAACATGTATGCAGTACAAAATAACATGGATTTATTATTAATGAGGTGTCAACATTATAGCAGCAAAAGAGACGTAAAATAAAATCATTAAATTATAACATTTTACCATATAACTGTAATCCTGACATCCACAGGTTCCACATATTTCGACAAGATACGCATTCCCAGAGGCAAAAAGAAACACCTAGAACTTCACCTACACTAATTTATGCAGTGTATCCTTAAGTTTAAGACACTCAACCCAGTGATAATTCCAGACTAATGGTAAAATATGCTCCAAAACAACCCCAAGCTTGCCACTTTTCTTCTATCAAGGAATAATATTAATTCTGTTCAATCTCTTTCAGTCTAGTCAATCATCCAAGAAGCTGAAGATACGAATTATCTAAATGCGTGCAAGCTAGAGCATGCTTTACCTGTCCAAATTGGAGCTAGGCAGCACCATTAGTTTCAACAAGAAAAAAATACAGTGCAAAGCAAATTAATAATATCATATGCAAGAAGACAAAGATAATGGTTAAACTTATGCCAAATTCAGGGCACGTTTTGCATTCAAATCTAGAGTGTACTATGTTCACATCATAAAAGATTATGAGATCCCCAAAAAACTGATTGGCTAAAACCGATCAATTCTGGATCTCCTCTAACTTAAACTTGTCAAGTTTTGTCTTATTTATTTATCTATCTACTAATAAATATATCTATAATTTGATATAAAAAAACAACCATAATGGCCTGCTATTCTCAAGCACGATAGTGAAAGGGCGATAGTTCAATGTGGTTCAAACTTTTAGACAAGCAAGGTAATCTCTTGCCAGTGGGAGCAATTATAAACCATGGAAACTAGAATGTGTAGATAAGAACTTAGCAGCAAATGGAGAAAGGGTATTCTGCTTGTTGTAGATGTGATGGGTCGCATGAAGATACTTGTATAGAAGTTTTATATCATGCAACTCCCTATGCATCCAGTAAATACCAAACTCCACCACCACAAGATAAATAAACAAATATACTACATAGGGAAGCCAACTGACATCGCTTATGCTAGCATAACATTTTGTGCAGCCATTTTCAACCATGTATTCAGAAAGACTTGGAAGAGAACACTACCATGGCATGGCCTTCATAGCAACATAAATTTGTAAGAGCATGGCTTTATTTGTAGGGATAGGATCTGCATTAAGAGCATTCAAGAAATATACAAAAGAGCCATCTTAAGCCAGCATAGGAATTTCACATTAGAAAAAATATAAAAGAGAAAAAAGAATACAGTTGACTTCTACAAGCAGGTGTAGTGTCGTCTGGTACCTAATGTCTTTTAAGATTATGGTATCTATTGCATATAAGATAAGAGACTATAATTTTTTTTTTTAAAGATGCATTGGAGTCTGTTTTGTAGGTATCATGCATGGTAATACAAAACGGTCCAAGAATTAAATAGAAAATACAGGATGAAAGCTAGCATTCATCACAATCCCATAAAATTAATTCACAGGTAAAGGATTTGAATCAAGAAAATAATATTCCCCTACCAATATTATTAGCTGACATTCTTTTAGATAATCACAAGTAATTTGACAATGATCATGAGGCATTCTATCCATATATTTCATCGTTGACTGAATTCCAATCCCAGATTCAAAAGCAAGCATTACTTCTATATGGTCTCCAGTACTATTAGGTGAAAGAAACAAATTACGAGACAGAATCCAACATGCATCCTCCTTTGACTTGTTCTCACCAAAGATCCAAAATGAAAAAAAGCTACAGGACGATCAGAAAATGTTCATTTATAAAAGAAGAAATTAGGATCTATTAAACTTAACGAAACAATCAACTTAAAACTAAAGAAACAATAAATAAAAATAAAAAAAACAGACAGAACCCAGATTCAAAATCAACATAAAAACGAAAACCCAATTTTCATCATCACTAAACACATAAAAAAAAATCAACAGAAAGAAAAAGAGAACAAAAAAAGTACCATTGGGAACATAAACATTGCGCTTCAAGTAGTAAATATAGAAGCAACAGAGGAAACTAGAGATGAAGTAAAGCAGAGTCCCGGCGATGTAGTCACGCAGCCAACTTTGCAAGAAATGGGGAAGTGGGTCCCACAGCTTGGTAGGCAAAAGATTTTCCAACACAATGCTGTTGTACAAAGTGGTCTCAACCAGGAACTGCTGCAAATACTCCTCTCCCATTGGTCAGTCAGGGCAATAATCCGGCGACAATCAGTCACCGGAGAAACAAATTTAACCCCAAAAAAAGACAAGACAGGTGTTTTCTATATTTTAGGACCAAAAAAAAACAATAGAATTCGCTGGTTTTCTGAGATTTATATGAGTTTGTGTCAGAGTCAGTGGAACACGAGCCGAACAAGTTTCGAAGAAGAGATAATATTTTGAAACCACGTTATATATTTGGAAGTATATATCAGCTGGACTGTCGTCTCATCATGCCCACGTGACTTGACCAAAATCATTTCTAAGAGCTATTTTCTCCGTCCCAAATTATTTGGGTAATATTAATTTTATTGGAGTTTTAAAAAAATTTTAATTTAAATATATTTAATATTAAAATTAAAATTGACTTTAGATTAAATCTCAACTTTTATTGGTTCGGAAAAAATTGACTTTAGATTAAATCTCAACATCAATTAGCTTTTAAAGTTTACATTCAACCTTGGATTTATGATATAGAACGAATACGTCCGAGTACTAATCGTTTATAATCAACTCAAGTAATAAGTTTAAAACTTGATGCAGCTTAGGATGAGTACTTGCTTTAATAATTAATGCATCTACTTTTTATTCAAAAGTTGAGATAAAACTTTTATGTGTTGCTATTTGTACCTCATTTTTTTCTGATTACATTATAAAATTTTAATATTTAATAAAATTATTTAAATACACATTAGCTTATTATCTTTTTGTCTTTTACTTTCCATTCTAAAAATTCATTTTCAAAAACTTTTAAAAATTTTAAAAAATTAATATTTGAAAGTTCTGAAAAGCTTTTAGATATATATTTTTGAATACCTTTTAAAACTTTTAAAAATTTATTTTTGAAAGTGTTGAATCACACTTAAATATTTTTACATGAAATCTTATAAAATTAAACACAAAATCAAATCAAAAAGTAAAAAGAACAAACAATTTGGCTTTGATTTCATACTTTTTAACTTCAAATGAGTGAAATTTTTTTTGAATTTCGCTTAATTGGGGTTTAAAATCTTGGGTTAAGAAGATAGATGAGATGAAGTGTAAGGAAATGGGGTGTTTGGTTTTTTGGTAAACTTGTGTTTTGGGTTTAGAATATGTTGAGTAAAAAATTTAGTGTTAATAATATTAGGGTATGAAAAAAAGAAGTTAAGGTGCAAATAACACCACTCAATTTTTATTTTCTTTAAGTAAAAACTAGATTTTTTGCCCATATAATGTCAAGGCTGATAATTTTTTATCAAAATTTATTTTAAATACATTTATTATTTTTTTATAAAAATAAATATATCATTTTAACATAAATAATAAATATATTTTCTATAATAATTTTTATGAGATATTACTTTTAATATATTGTCACTACAAAAATTCTTAATTTTAGTGGCACTAAAATTCTAAGGATTCATTAAAGTACTAATAATTTTTTATTTTATTTTACTGGCTTTATACACCATTTAATTTTTTAAGGCACTTTTAACCCACACATATTATTTTTGTTTCTCTACTTAATAAAACACTCTTATATAAGGGTTTATAAAAATCTAATATAGTTTTTTTTTAAAAGGCACTTTGCCTCTCTCACATGACTTAATAACCTTTTTTTCTTTTTTAAATCATATGTTCACTTATTTTTTTGAAATCTCTCTTACTCTCACTCTCATCACTCTTCATCTTCAATCTCTTTCACTTGCACTATCAATCTTTGCCATAGATTATCATCTCTGCTACAAACTTCGATTTCTTTTATGCTGAAACTTCAATTTCCTCTGCTTGTAAGTTCAAATTCTTCCAAACAATTCATTTAGGGTTTCATCGTCTGCATTTCTTCGTTCATAAAAGTTTTTCTATGTTGAAACTTCATTTAGGTTTTTTGGAACTTCAATTCATTTAGGGATTCATTTAGATTTCTTCTGTGCTAAAAGTCTTGCTTCTTGAGGTTGATTTTCTTATTGGAACATATTCAATTTTTTTTTAGGCACGTATATCCAAAGTGTGATTCACTTAACTTATAAGATTGAAAGACAAGCAACAAGTATTCAAGTACTTTCCCTTAATTAGGTGCATTAAATTATCCTTAGTAAAAGTATCATCTTTATTTATATTGTCTGCTCGTACAAAAAATTGATCTATAGGTTTTTTAATAAGTATTAGGATTTTAATTTTCAATAATCATTTAACTTTTTTTTTAATTTTTTGTTATATTTTATTATGTTATAATACTTCAGATATATTTTAGGGTTTTTATTACAAATCTAGTTGTTTGAATTAAATTATGCAATTTTCTATATATTTTTGTTTGGTTGATGACTTGATGTGATTCTTTTATATGTTACTTTGTTATATAATGAATTACTATACACTTCAAATTTTGATTGAAGCTCTTTCTTTAAGGCTAGTGTTTTCTTTATTTGCCAAACACATTATGGATTTTAGATCCTTTGTACTATAGGCAACGTGGAACCTTGAGCATTGAATATGGAAAGATCAAGTAACACAGACTCTTATTTTGTAAAAATGAGATCATAAAAAAATGGATGATTTTTTTACTAATCATTTAAGGTTATCAGCACTAGAGTTATGGTTGTGTTCTTTTTTTTCATAATTTTGATCTAAATCACATAGAATTTAGAAATTTTGCATTGCATTAGACTTGAGCACCCATTTGGCTTGTTAATTCTCTCTTTTTCCTTTTACCTATCATTAATAAATCTATTTTTAGTGTTTTAAGTTGTAGGCCTATTCAAGAAAGTTCTCAATGCATGTTGGTGGATACAATTTTTAAGATGTTTTGGGGGTAAAACTTGGTAAATAGTGTTTCAAGAAATATGCATGAGGATTATGGATGAAATTTTTTGTTGTAAATATGGCGACAATACTTTAACAATGAATTATCAATATAATATTTGTCAATAATAACTTTTTATGATCTTAATTTGTAAGGTACTAAAGCAGTCGAACTAACATGATAATAATCTTAATTTGCTTGGCTCTACTATAGATATCATTCATTTTTTTTCATGTGTTGAAAAGTAAATATGTTGAATCAATATTATATGAAAATAAAAGAAATAAAAATCTAAATGCTTTGTATATCAAAAAGGAATGTACCTTAAAAGGAAAATGATGATTTAAGTTGTGTTGGTTTGGTTATGATGGGTTAGTGTGACTATGTTAAGAATGGTCTAAGAAAAATTAAAATAAGAGGTTTGACCTTGAACATAAAGATTTTTCATTGATTTATCTTTAAACAGATAAAAACTCAACTTCAATGACATTTAACTAAGGTTAGCTTAAAATGACCTATTATGTGGCGTAACATAGATTCATTTACAACCTAATGCTTAATGTTCTCATCTTTTTTTTTTTTTGGACCCAGTTTCAAAGTCAGAAAAATATTTGGAGGGTTTGAGAGGATTTTAATTGTATTTATGGCAAGTTGAACATAAGTTTTTAGTGTAAATGAGAGGATTTATTTCGGTCAAAGCAATAATCAAAATAAAACGTTTCATTAACTTTATAGAGTGGGAAAAAATAACTTTTTTAATTCTAAAGATAATTTTGTAAAATTAATTAATAATTGCTAATATGCACCTTTAGATAGCTTAAATTAATCATTCAAAAGTTGTTCAAAATCTTAAATTATTATTGCTTACATAAATATTATTCTTGAAGTTACAATTTTGAGTTTTCTAAATTTTGTTATGATTGATAATGTTATAAAGTTAACCATACATTCCTTTACGTCACTTAAGTTAATGATTTAAAATTTGTTCAAAATCATAAAATATTATTGTTTAGATAAATGTTCATGTAGTAAATTTTGAGATTTTTTAGGATTTTGTACTTGGGCAATAATTTAAAGTTGATAACTAATTGCTAATATGCTTATCTAGATAACTTAAGTTAATTATTTAAATATTTTCAAACTTTTAAATTCTTATTATCTGTATAAATATTGTTCTCATAGCTATTATTTTCGATTTTTAAAGACTTTTTGTGTTATTGATGAACAATTTTGTAAAGTTAACCGATAATTGCTCATAAACTCCATTAGATAGCTTAAATTTATCATTTAAAAATTTTTCAAAGTCATAAAATGTTGTTGTTTGGATTAATGTTCATGTGGTTGATGAATTTTGAAATTTAAGAAATTTGAAATATATTAATTTAAAGTAACAAAATTTGTAATTACATTGTTGAGATAATTATTTTTTAGAAAAGAATTTTAAATATTAAAACTTGATAAGATAAAAAAAATATTATAATAGATAAATAATGATATATATTAGAAACATAAAAAGTAAAATACTAAAAAAATATATGTAATATGGGTTTCATTAGATTTGTAAAAATATGTAACTATTACTAACAATATAAAAAATTAAAAAAATAAATTTTATAATGAGTTTTTTAGTTAAAATTGAATAAAACATTAAAAGTTACATAAAAAAGAAAATATAGTAAATGTTGACTTCTTAATATAAAAATAAAAAAACTTTGTAAGTTCCACCTAATGAGCTCACCAAAATTCCTCATTTAAATTTCAAAAATTTTCACAATTATAATTTTTATTTTACCCAAAAAAATAATTTTATTTTAAAATTTAAAAATCTCTTTTCATATAAAATCCCTTCTTAAAATCTCCCATTCATATCTAACTTAAAAATCCTACTCTTGCTTAATAATTACACATTAATCTTAGAATTTTATTTGAATAATTAATGCTAGGCTCATGTGTGATGTGTTTTCTTTCCAAAGGTCAACTAATTTGAAAAGCAAAACACAATTGGGGTACAGCAATAAAGAGAATATAACTTATTACTCCAAAATCTTATAGTAACTAAATTTGCAACAAAGTTTAAGTTGAAATATTTGATAATTCAGTAAAATAAAAAGACGTATTTAGTATTTTTATTTAACTATATACCATATATATGAACATCCAAGGTTTTTTAAAATGTATTAAATAGCTAAAGAATTATTATTTTTATATATTAATGGTAAAATTTATGAATTTGACAAGCTAATTTATAAGATTAACGTGTATCCTTTAAAATAATTAGCTTAACTTATAATTTCATTAACATAAAATAATCTAAAAGCAAATAAAAGCTAGCCTTCATTTATGAAAACCCTATTTAGAAAACAATATTTAGTTTATGAAAATTTTTTATTAAACACTTAAAAAGCATATTTAGAAAATCATTTTA